ACTAAGCTGTATGTATGTTTATATGTATGCATACTTCAGATATGTCCAAATGTTTTAATCTAACTCTTAATACAAGGCAAATTATTATAAAATATTGTATGTTTATATTTCTAATGCTAAAACGCGCCAGCAAATGCACTTAAGCGTGTTTCGACCACACTTTAAAAAATCTGTTTAAAATTGCGACTATAAATCGAGTAAATTTTTGTTTATTTTTAAATTTTTTTGGTAAATTTACACGATGAATATGTATTTTTCTCGTTTACACATTTTTGTTAGCCGTTTTACACAATTCTACGGGTGAAATCAAACAGCAGACGTGTATTTTGTAGCTTGTACATACTTTCGTAATAAATTTACGCACACCACAGCATCTATATACACTCTAAAAAGTCCGAAATTTAAACAAACTATTCGTTGAATAATCGAGCATGAAATCAGTAACCTACCTTTTAGCTAGGAAATCTACACAATTTTTTTTTAGAGTGCACATTACTTTAGGACTTTTTATTTGGCTTTTTAATTCCTATGGCTTTCCTTTATACTTATTTATACTTTTTACTTAACATCGCAACTGAAACGGAAAAAGTCGTGACTAATATTTCTATTTTTTTTTTTATAAAATGATGTGGGGGTTGTAATTCGATGAAATCCGTCAAATAAATCAAAACGTGAATTTTGAATTTTTTATTACTTATGACTTTTTTCATTTCAGCGATGGTGTTTGTTACGTCTTTTTGCATTCCACGATACGATATGTATGCACAATATCTTTCCTTCTGTTTATGAGGTTTGGGAATTGAAATCAAAATTTTACAAACGTTAAAAAAGTTTTGTCATAATGTACATATGTATGTACGTCACAGTTTAGTTTTAAACTTTGAATTTATGAATAGGTACGATTACAAATAATTAAATAAGTAAAAACACCCAAAACCTTCAAAATATTTTTTTTACCTGCAAACTAAGTTAGTTTACAGCTATTCATATCCGTAAGTTCAAGACATTTACATATCCATACATACGTGCATATCTGTGCCACTCAATTATAGTAGCCTAAGTCGGGATGGGCCCTTTTCCCTTTAAAGCAACATTTTATTGGGTTTCCAAACAATATTTTAACGTTTAACTAGCCATAGGTGTAGTTCAAGATGCCCTTCTAATAGAAGATTAATAAAAATAAAAATAAAATTCAAGGACAAATAACGATTTTTTAATCCAAAGTCCAGCCTTTTAAAGTCACTTAAGCTACTTTAATTGAAAAGCCTCCGGCACATAC